GCAGAGGTTAAGAGCATGGACTCAGGAGCCAGACAACTTGGGTTCAGAACTCAGATCTGCCCCTTACTAATTAGTAAAATTACATTATCACTCCATGCCTCAGTTTCCTCATATGTAAAATGGGGATAATAATAATACTTGTATCAAAGGGTTGTTTTGAGGGTTAAATGAATTAATCTATTCAAAGCACACAGAACAGTGCTGGGCACAAAACTAAGGGCTTTAGAAGTCCAGCTCTAACTGGCTGTTGTTATATGTATGATTATGGGGCTCAGAAAAAAACTTTATGAATGAGGAAGCATTACAGGTAACCCTGGTTAACAGCAGGGGATGGAATGGAGACAACGTTAGACATCCCTCAGCTGACAGCCCAGCTGAGGCACCAGGAAGACGGATGTCCTAGACTCTTGCTCTGGGGAAGATCAGACAGAGACATTCCCCACCCACTGCTCTGAACCTACGGCAAAGGTTACATATGTGCATGCATCTGAATTGAAATATTCTCGAAGGATGTACCAAATTGATTTTCCCTGCCTTGTGGAATGATGGGTGATGTTCATTTTCTTCTTTTTGCTTATCTATACTTTCTAATTATGAAATAATTAATATATATTGTTATAATAGGAATAAATGAAAACCTATTTTAAAAAGCCATTATTCATTAAATAGTTGGCATTTATCGATAAAAAATTTCTGTGTCTATTCTTCTCAAGCAAGGGGTATGATATGTAGAAATTTGTGACTCTGACAAATCCAGAATTCACTATGAGGCTGGCATATGGGAACCAATTTCTTAGCTGGTGAGTGAGCCTGGTTGACAAGCCGAAGTGGCAATGTGACTATAATTTATTACATGATTCCATTTAATTCTTACAACAACAATAGAGGTAGATATTATTGTCTCAATTTCACAGATAAAAAACTGAGAGTATTATATATCATGTTGGTAGTCAAGAATTTGGGAATCTAATGGAATACCTGGCTGGCTCAGTCAGTAGAGCATATGACTCTTGATCTTGAGGTCATGACTTTGAGGCCCACATTGAGCATAGAGATTACTTAAAAAAATAAAAGTTAAACAAACTTTGGGGGCCCTTGGGTGGTGCTGTTGGTTAAGCGTCCAGCTCTTGGTTTTGGCTCAGGTTGTGATCTCAGAGTCGTGGCATTGAGCACGGGGGTGCAGGGCTCCACACTCAGCATGGAGTCTGCTAAAGTTTCTCTCTCCCTCTCTCTTTGCCCCTCCCCCCATGCTCTCTATCTTTATCTCTCTAAAATCAATCAATCAATTAATCTTTAAAAAAAGACCTTTGGAATCTGAGAATATCATGGGTCTAGTACTAGGGTCCTCATTCCTTAGCACTATTGACATTTTGGATCAGATAATTCTTTGTTGTGGGGGTTTGACCTGTGCATTGTAGGATGTTTAGCAGCATCCCTAGTTTCTACTCACTAAATACCTGTAATATCCCTCTCCTCACAGGTTGTGACAAGCAAAAACATCTCCAGACATTGCCAAATATCCTCTGATCTAGAACCACTGGTTTAGTGTATTCTATTCATTAATTATGAATATTAAACTCCAAACATTCAAGATATAAACTCAAACCATTGTCTTTTCTTTTTTTTTTTTTTAAAGATTTTATTTATTTATTTGACAAAGAGAGACACAGCGAGAGAGGGAACACAAGCAGGGGGAGTGGGAGAGACAGAAGCAGGCTTCCCGCTGAGCAGGGAGCCCAATGCCGGCTCGATCCCAGGACCCTGGGATCATGATCTGAGCCGAAGGCAGACACTTCACGACTGAGCCACCCAGGCGCCCCTCAAACCATTTTCAATACTTCACCTTCATAGGGGGCTTAGTTCTTTGGCTAAATCTTTAATTGATGTTGTTGTTGATAAAAACAGACTTTATGATATAATGGACATATTTTGCATAAATATTTTCCTATCTTGTGAATTATTTCCACCCTAATGTAGAGCAAATAAATGAACATTTTTAAGCCTTCACTTTCATAAGTCAAATTGGTGACGGTAAAAGTTGTACCAGTTTACATTTCTGCTAGCAGGATAAGGGAGTCTATCTTACCACATTTTCACCAGCATTGGCTGTTATGTACATATTTCTATCTTTGCTAATATAAGTTCTCACTTATATTTATATATTATTTTTATAGATATTTATATTGTCTTATTTCTATATATATTTTAAAGGTTTATCTATTTATTTGAGAGAGAGAGAGAGTGCACATGCAGGGGAGGGGGCAGAAGGTGAGGGAGAGACAAACTCTGAGCAGATTCCACGCTGAGCATGGAGCTCTGAGCGTGGAGCAGATGTAAGGCATGATCCCACCACCCGGAGATCATGACCTGAGCTGAAACCAGGAGTAGGTCGATCAACCAACTGCACCCAGGCGCCGTTGGCCTATTTATATTTTTGAACACTAGTAAGGGTGAATATTTTCTCATATGTTTTAGCAGTGGTATTTCTTCTTCTAATTGTTTGTGTCTTTTCTTCATTTGTGTGTTGGGGTCTTACTGATTGTTCTTATCCATTTGTTTGAGCTCTTTATGTAATGTAACCTGAGAGCAGAAATTTCTACAAAATAAAAGCTTGTATGAAGCATCTGAACTTAGACTTTATTAAAAACTTGGGCAGATGGCAAAAGATTTACATCACAGCAATCTCAAATGGAGTTCTAAGCACTCCTGTTTTTGTAAGCTCTTTATCATGTTGCTTCCTTTCTCTTCTCTCTTCCCTTCACTTCCCTATGCTTTCCTCCCACTTCTTCACCCCAATTCTGTTTCTTTCCAATCTGGAAACTAGTTTAGTTATGTCTTGGTTTGTCTCCATTTACCCAAGCTCAGTTTATCTTTGAATTTTGCTAGTTTATCAAGACATTTTCCTAAGCAAGGACAATTCCTTTCCTCAGGGGAATGCCAGTACCAACTTTCAAGATATTTTAAATATTATAGGAGGGTGAAGTGACTTTGATTTCTATTGTGCTATTAGTTTCAAATACTTCCCCCACTTTGTTTAATTAAAACATTTATCTTTTTCCCTTAAAAAATATGAGGAAAAAATAGATATTCTCTATGCATTTTTTCAGTGCCTTTAAGCTTAAAACGTACTTCCTCGTGGGGAGTATGTAGGTATTTGGAAATGGAGGGAAAAGTGTGGCATGCCTGCTGGGCATCCTGACATATTAGCACACTCCTACGTGTAGTATAGAAAAGTGAGCTTCCTCTCTTTTTGTAAAGCATATTCTCTTACTATTAGAAGCATTAGGAAGCAATCATGCCCTGCTTATATTAAATACGCTTGCTAGATTTTTGAATGAGATATGCTAGACCTAGTAATAGAGCTAACATTTATTGAGCACTACATTACACTGCCTCTCAAGTATAACATGGTGTTTAAAACATTGGAAAGTGTCAGGAGGACAGAAGTGGATGCACTTGAGTTTAAAATTTAAGAAACTGAGAGGAGAATTCTGCTTCAGGGCCACATACAAACAAAAAACCCCAAAAGATTTCAAATGCAGACCCTAAAATTGCACTGTCCAAACCAGTTGCTACTAACCTCCTGTGTGTATTTCAATTTTAATTAAAGTGAAATAAAATGTAAAATTCAGTTTTGGTCACACTGCCACATTTCAAGTGCTCAGTAGCCACATAAGGCTAGTGCATACCATATCAACAGGACAGAATAACATTTCCATCATTGAAGAAAGTTTTATTGGACAGTACAGAGCCAACAAAATATTGCTTTTAGGCCCATTTTTGTGAAGCCAGATAAAACTTTTGAAATTCCTGATAAGTTTCCAAAGCTGTGTTATAGAACTGGTTGTTGGAATTGCCTGAACTTCATTCAGAATTGGTGAAAAATATCAGGTTGGGGATAGTTTGGTTGGTTGTTACTTTCTGTCCAGTTTAATACTGAGGCTTTAAGAAATTTTGTGTTGAATTTCTACAGGGACCCAAGAGCAGAAAAGGCATGGGATAGCTCAGAAAACCTGGGTCCTGTAATGTACAGTAATCCTGGTGATCATTTGCTGGGTGTTTCTATGTGCCAGCCACTGTGCTAAATGCATACTTCCTTCAATCCTCACAATACCTCTAAAAGGTGTGTATCATTACCACCATTTCACAGGTGAAGAAGCTGAACTTTAGAGGCCTAAGGTCACACAGATAGTAGTAGAACGAGGATTTAAAACGAGATATGTTTATGCTCTTGTGCTAAACAGCTCTGTTGACCTCTGATTCTTCACTTTCCTCATCTGTAAATCTGAAAGGACTACATTAGGAAATCCCAAAGTTCTCTACCGTTTCTAAAACTAGACTCTAAATTAGAACCCCCCTTATTTTCCCAAGCCAATGGAATATGCAGGGTTTAAAAGAGCGGCTTGCTACCTTCTTCCTCTCAAAGGATATGCTTTTTCCCCTGTCCATAGCTTTGTTCTGAAACCTTTCATGGTTTCTCATTATGTAATGTGGTTTCAACTATTGTGATGTTTATCACACGCCACACATACTCCTAAACTAGATAACGTGCCCTCTCATGGCAAGGAGTGATTCGCTCTGGTAGATAAACCCTGAAAAAAAATTAGCAGAATGCCTAGTGCACAGTAAATGTTCCAGGAACACTTATGGAATTAACTGGAAGTGGACTAGAAGGAAAATGTGAATCAGCCGAAGTAAACTATTAAGGATGTTACTCAGAAAACGGGGCTGTCTGAAAAAAACCCCGAGTGGAGTAACCTGTGTAGGGGGCTAGAGACAGTCTGACCCACAGAAATCTGAAACAGTGGGATAACGTTAGGGATGGACCAGGGGGCGGACCAGACGGCGCCAGGACGCTGGGAGAGGCGACAAACCCCACCCACCCCGGAACGGCGGCCGCCAGCCCTCCCGGGTCTCCCGGGCTCCCCGGAGAGCCTCCCAGCCCCGCCCCTCCGCGGAGGTCGCGGCTGCGACGGCAGCTGCGGCTGCGCAGTGGCGCGCGCGTAGGCGAAGCGGCGCGCGCCGCGGTCAGCTGACTGCTCCGGCTGGCACGTGACTTGCTCTGTAGGCGCTGGGGTCGAGAAAGCCGTGAGGCCGGAGCTTAGGTCCGGGAGGGATGGAGCGCTGAGCCGTTAACGTCTGCAAGGCTGTCCGCCTCCGTACCTGTTAGTGCAGCCACTTCGTCGTTTGACACCTTCCTGGGTCAGTGAGCGATGGTTACCCCGGTTGGGGAGTCCTGGCCAGGCCGAATCTTGCGGTGCGGTCGCCGTCTGGGAGGGATGGGGGTGGGCGCAGGGGCCGAGGCTGTGGCGTTGGAGCTGGCTGGGTGGTTGTGTTTGGTTTCTCTGCGTCGGTTCGTTGAAACCTTGGGCGTGGGTTCTGTTTCTAAGGAAGGGGAAGAAGGGAAAAAGAAATGGCCCTGGGGGTACTGAATAGCCGAGACAGGAAGGAGAAACACTGCGGGTCTGGGACATTTCTCCTTGCAAGGGGGGCGGGGAGCGAATCCACGCCCCTTGATTTAGAGGGATGAAATGTGATAGAGTGGCCCAGATGAGGATCTGGGGTGGTGTGTGTGAGGTCACAGCGAGCTCAGAAGCCTTCACTGGGCTTACGCGCTTGTGAGTAGCGCGGGGATGGCAGTTTAAAGGGTCTAGGAGCCCCTCACTACATGCAGGGGACTCTCACAGAGGATGCAGGGGACTCTCACAGAGGATGCAGGGTCTTTGTAGGCAGGGGAAAGAACAAGAATCCAGAGAACTCAAACCATTTTTTATTAGAATGGGGGAAGGGTAGGCAAGAAATCCCCGAAAAGGAACTTGAGGGGAGAGTCACATACGGCAAATTGAATCACTTGAGAAAACGAGTAAAGAGAAGCTGATACTCTTTTCGGAGGAAAAATCTGGTATGTTAGGGAAAGATCAAGTATTTCAGTGAGAGCTCAGTACTTAGCACTGCTCTCGGAGTGCAGGAGTGGGGGTGTAAACAGTCCAGCCTTAGGAGTTCGCACCAGTGTTGGGGAGATAAGTCACACACACGTGACACATTGAAGTACTATGAGGTTATATGTAATTATCAAAAAAATTGCTAAATGCTTTGGAATTGTGGAGCAGGGACAGAGGTATGAACTGACACTAATCAGGAAATATCCTGGAGGAAAGATAACGGGGATTGGGTCTTTGCAAGCCAGTAGGATTTGAACAGGTGGAGAGAAAAGAGAACTTTCTCGGCAGGGAAAGGCACAGGATTTGAAGGCCTGAAGATGAAAAGAAAGAGTACTCCTAGGGGAGTCAGAAGCCCAGGTTTATGGTGTATTTGGATTCCAGAAAAGTGAAAAATAAAGTTGGGATCAGATAATGAAGACTTTGAATGATATTTACTCATTCATTCAACTGATATATATTGAGCTATATACCAAGTGCTATGCTGGTGTGAAGGTTTAGAAAACAGGATCACTCTCCTAGAGCTTCCAGTGGAGTGGAGGAGAGATGGGTCTTAATAAATAATTATGCACGTGTGAAATGTGCTTGGAAGGAATAACAGTGGTGTGAGAGAGTTTGTAAAGGACATGGTCTTTATAGAGAGTTCAAAGGAGGCTTTTGGAGCATATGACTTCCAAACTGGTACCTGAAAAGCGGCTAAAAAGGATGTGAAGGTGTGAGTAAAAACATTCCAGACAGAAGGAACAGCGTATGTCAGTGCCCTGAGATGTGAAGAGGAATAAAGCTTTTGAGACATTGTAGGAGGACTAGCAGGGTTGAATATGCAGAGAACTATGTGAGAGAGGCAGGCAGGGGAAAGCTGGGATCAGGCCCAGCAGGGCTTTTATCCTAAAAGCAAAGGGAAGCCAGTGAAGATGATAGGCAGTAGAGTTGAGTTAGACGTGGTTTTTAAAAATAAAATTTTGTTGGGAATGTGGAGGGTGCAAAACTGAATGAGGGGAAACCACTTCAGGAGGTCATTGTTGTAATTCCTGCCAAGAGATGGCAAAGCAATTTAATAGTTTCCTCCTGTAGGAAATGGAGAGCCACTGAAGGACTTGAAGGCAGGATACCTTCTCTCTCCACTAAAGGAATTAAGGAGAAGGTTTAACCGTATTCACTTTCAGAGGAGCTAAGGAGTTGGGGAAGGGGAAGAATGATTAGATTCTATTTTGACCCTTCACTGAGGGTAGTTATAACTACCCCCTAAGCAGTCCTGAGGACAGGGGAGGCTGGATCATTTGGTGGGTGACTGGAGATTCCTTTGCAAAAATCTGTTTTGGCCTTCCAGACTTATCCTTTGGTAATGTTACTCCTCCAGAATACCTTTTATTGAATAGTAGTAACAGGGTAGACTCAATTAACTTTCATGTTTATTTTGTTCTCACAGATCTTTGAGAGAGAGTAGATGAAAATGCATTTCATTTTATAGATGGGAACCTATCTAGAACCTTGGAACTAGAAACAGGTTTGTCTCAGTCTGGCAGAACTTTCACAGTGTGCTGACTGCTGGTGTCCTGTTCCTGCTGATTACCTACATAATACTTACCCATAATCACATCTAGAGAGGATGAGTTGGCTGAAGTACGTTGTAATCTTTGATTCAGCACGTTAGCACTCTTGGTGTACTTTTTCTAGTAGGACACCTTCAAGGGATTTGGCAGTGGTGGTCAGTGCTTTAAAAACTGCTTTTCTGTAAGCTTGGGTAAAGCTAGTCAATTTACAGTTCTGCTGGAGGAGATAATAAGCAACAAAGTGGAGCGCACAGTGCTCAGGTTGTCAATCACGGTTCTTTGGCAATAAGCAAGTCTCAAGTTCTGCTGAAGACCGAGCCTTGGGGTTGTGTCTCAGAACTCCCGGATCTTCTTCTCTTTTGGTGTATCTTGCAGGGACTAGATAAAATCTAAGGAAACAGTACTCGGGATCTGACTGAAGTAAATGCTGAGAGCTAGGTAGTTAATGTAATTCTGCTTTTAGAACTGGGCAGGAGATACTTGTTTTTAACTTTTGGCATATCAGTATTAGGAACCTCACTTACATTGGCTTTTACAACCTAAAAAGAAAATTTAGAGCTTCAAAAATTTTGTTCTGTGATTATTTCCATAACTCATGAAATAATTCCATTGGCCAAAGAGCAAAACTGGAATGCCAGAATAAACCTTTGCAGAAGGATCTCCTTGGAGTCCACCGGTTCCGAAGCAGTCTTCCTATTGAACTTGTTTAGGGATAGCTACAAGTATCTCCTAGTTAAATTTTGTTCTTGTACATATTTTGATCTGTCTGCGGAAGTCAATCTTTTTCACCCTTTTGATGAGAAATTATATGCTATTTTCGTTGTAAACTAATTCATGTTAGATTCCCATTTCATTGACATTTTAAAGACGTAGTAGAAGCCTGGGGCGCCTGGGTGGCTTAGTTGTTAGGCGTCTGCCTTCGGCTCGGGTCGTGATCCCGGGGTCCTGGGATCAAGCCCAGCATCGGGCTCCATGCTCCGCAGGAAGCCTGCTTCTCCCTCTCCCACTCCCCCTGCTTGTGTTCCCTCTCTCTTTGTCAAATAAATAAATAAAATCTTTTAAAAAAAAAAAGACATAGTAGAAGCCATTACTATAGTGCCCTTGGAAAGATAGCTCAGGCGATGACCCAGGGCATTTTAAAATTTCTTATTGACACGAGTGACCCTTGGAACCAGAAATTTCAAACTATATTCTTGATAATGAAGCAAAGTTATTTTCTAGTGGTAAATCTACTTCTAATGTTATATCACTGTGTAAATCTGCTATACATTTATTGAGTTCAAAAAGGAGCCAGGTGAGCAGTAGAGGAGAGGTGCTTTGGTTACATCAGAGGATAAAAGAGCATTAGCTTTTTATCTAAAATGAGTTGTGTGTATATTTGAAAATGAAATGCCAGGTAAGTGCAAAAATGGTGTTTTATAAAAAGAAACTAGTGTATTTTTAAGCAAACTACCAGTGAATAGGAAGTTATTTATAAACTAAACTGATTAACAGTTGGATTAACTTTACCATGAAGGGTTTTCGTTATGAACCAGGCTATCGCTTAATGTTTCTGTATGGGTGTTACTGGCATTTTGGACAGGACGGTCTGTTGTTTGGTCCCCATCCACTAAATGCAGCTAGTAGCCTCCACGTTGGGACGATCTAAAATGTTCCCATACGTTTCCAAACTCCTGGGGGAGAGAGATACCATTTGGTTACAAAACACTTGCATGTGGTGCTACCACTCATTTGTTGGACAGATATTTGAGTGCTTGTTAAGTGACAGGCACTGTTAGTTGTTGGGGGTATAGAAGTTAAGAGTAGTATTTTAATAAACTAGCATGTAAAATGTGTATGGTCACTAGCTGTGTGATCTTGGGCAGATAATTTCATTAACTGTTCTTTGATCTACAAGTGGGAGTGGTAATAACATCTTTGAAGAAGTTGAACACAAAATTGCATAGCATACTGAAGTGCTTATCACATAGTGCATATTCAGTAAGTGGTTGTCACTATCAATAAACAGAATCTCAAGCTTACTGGAGTGATGAACTGGGAAAAACTAACTTGTTTTAAGTCTGTAACTTGATGAATTTCAGGCTACATTGTGTTAGAGATATAGGCATCTTCTGGTGGAATGTGGTATTGTGGTCCAATTACTGTTATAAAATACCAGCCCAAAGTAAAAGGGAAGTAACGCTTTGGGAGCCATGAGTGTAGATCCAGGGATTCCCCTGGCATGGAAAGAATTGTTTGTTCCTTGGGTCATTGCTGAGTTGCCTGTGGCAGAGAGGAAGTCTCTGGGAGCTCAGAAGGTCCTGATGATTACTTTCAGTAATAGGTGTACAATGCCCTCCTGTCTTCATCTAGCTTTACTAGAAATTACAAGATATTTTCCCTAAGACACCCTAACACCATCCACCT